ATGGGTCTTGTTCATCAGATCACTCTCCTAATGATGTGATCCCGTTCATCAAATGACAACACATGTCTATGGTTAGGAAACTTAACCATCTTTGATCAACGACCTAGTCTAGTAGGGGCTTACTAGGGACATGGTGTTTTGTCTATGTATCCACACATGTATCAAGTTTCCGGTTAATACAATTCTAGCATGAATAATAAACATTTATCATGATATAAGGAAATATAAAATAACAACTTTATTATTGCCTCTAGGGCATATTTCCTTCAGTATGAGCCATAGTAAAGTTGGAATACAGTAGATATAATGCAAAAATAAAACAAGAATGTGTTTGCAATAGTACTTATAGTAGTATTTGATTTCTTATGCTAACGGATCTCATGAAGGTTTTATTGATTTTTGTGTGATCGAAGTTTTCAACTTTTGGGTGAGATCGCGATGGATGAAGGAATAAGGAGAAGCAAGAGCCTAATTTTGGGGATGCCCCATGGCACCCCAAGATAATATTCAAGGGTGAACAAGCAACTAAGCTTGGGGATGCCCCGAGTGGCATCCCCTCTTTCTTCTAACAACCATCAGTATTTTACTTGGAGCTATATTTTTTTTCATCACATATCATGAGTTTTCCTTGGAGCGTCTTGTATTATATGCATCTTTGCTTGTTTTGCATTTTAGTTTGTCACGAGTATCCTTGCTAGACACGCCTATTTGAGAGAGCCAAAATTATGCTATGATTTGTTAGAATTTCTCTTTATGCTTCACTTAGAATATATTTTTGAGCTCCGGAATTGCTCTAGTGCTTCACTTATATCTTTTGAGAATGGTGTGCTTTAATACTTTTGAAGTAACGCTCTCATGCTTCACTTAGATTTATTTGAGGGTTAGTAATTTTTAAGAAATTCTCTCATGCTTCACTTATATTATTTGGAGAGATGAAAATTTTATGCTCACGTTCTTCACTTAAATTTGTTTGAGCTTATCAAAAGCAACATATGAAACTAGTCCCAAAGTGATAGATATTCAAGAAGGATATGATAAAAACTTTCATGAAGATCATTGGACAAAATAAACTTGATTCTTAGTAATAGTTTTGAGATATGATGATAGTGATATGTGAGTCATGTTGATGAGTAATTATGCTTTAGTAAGAATATTGGTGTTAAGGTTTGTGATTCCCTATGCAAGTACGAAAGTCAACAGTTATGCAACGAAATTACATCCCACTTGTGGTGCATTATTCGGTGTTAGTTATGCTTAATGCTCGCTTATGTGATTTTTCGTTTCTTGCTTGGTTGCTTCTCTTTTTGCTAGCCTCCACTTGTACTAAGTAGAAATACTACTTGTGCATCCAAAATCCTTAAACCTAGTTTTGCCACATGACTCCACAATACCTACCTATATGCGGTATTTCCGTGCCATTCTAAGCAAATTTATATATCCCATCTGTAAATTTTCAAAATAATTTCCTTTTTGTGTGCTTGTACCGCTCATGAAGCGGCAGGGGGTGGCCAATATTTTCCATGCTAGATGTGTTATTCTAAAGATGAGTGTTTATTCACTTGTCATTGCACGAGAGTACGAAGTTATTAGGGATGCCCAGTCCCGAAATGAAAATGAAATTTACTTTATGTTGTCAAATGATAAATTCCTTGGAAAGTGGTTGTATGGAGGGCACCCATGGATACGGCTAGCCATGGATTGTGAAAGAATAGTGGAAAAAGGAATAAACTTTATTTTCTATTTGGGAACCACCTATTGATATATCTAGCATGGAAAGTGTTGGGAATTAATTGATCATTTTCGTTGGCGGGAAAAGTATGCCTCTCAAAATGTTTTTCTCGCTTTTTTCGCTTTAAGCTCTCGCACCTGTAAAAATCCCTACTTCCCTCTGCGAATGGCCTTTCTATTTACTTTATGCTTTTATTTTTATTTTGAGTCTCCATCTTCTCTTATAAAGCACCAACTAAGGGGCAATATGATCATACTTGAGCATTGGATGTAGCTAATATGCGAGTTAGTTTCATGAATGGATCAATGATTGAGCATCATGGGCTAGGGATAACTTGCTTTAGTGTTGATATTTTGAAAGACATGGTTGCTTGTTGATATGCTTTAGTATTGAAATCTTCATGTCAAAACGAGACTATTGCTTTGAACCATATAAAATTCCATATGTCCATGCTACAAAAGAAAAGAATGTGATGAACATGATAGACAACATTCCAATCAAAAATTATATTTTTATCATTTACCTACTCGAGGACCAGCAGGAATTAAGCTTGAGGATGCTGATATGTCTCCAATGTATCTATAATTTTTTACTGTTCCATGCTGTTATATTATTATTCTTGAATGTTTTACAATCATTTTATAGCAACTTTATATCATTTTTTGGTACTAACCTATTGACATAGTGCCCAGTTCCAGTTGGTGTTTTTTGCTTGTTTTTACTTTGCAGAATATCAGTACCAAATGGAGTCCAAACGCAGAAAACTTTTTGGAGAATTTTTCTGGACCATAAGACACCTGTTGGGCCAAAGAAGTACCAGAGGGGGCTCCGAGGGTAGCACAACCCACCTGGGCGCGCCTGGGGGGTCAGGCACACGCCCTGGTGGGTTGTGCCCACCTCGACCGCCTCCCGCACCGCCTCTTTGCTCTATAAATACCCCCAAAATCCAAAAACCCTAGGGGAGTCGACGAAACACAATTTCAGCCGCCGCAAGTTCCAGAACCACCAGATCCAATCTAGACATCATCACAGAGGGGTTCATCATCCTCATTGGTGCCTATCCAAAGATGCGTGAGTACTTCATTGTAGACCTACGGGTCCGTAGGCAGTAGCTAGATGGCTTCCTCTCTCCTTTTGATTCTCGATACAATGGTCTCTTGGAGATCTATTTGATGTAACTCTTTTTGCGGCGTGTTTATTTGGATCCTATGAACTTTGAGTTTTTGATCAGATATGTTTATCTATGAAAGTTATTTGAGTTATTTTGATCTCTTATATGCATGATTACTTATAGTCTCGTATTTCCTCTTCGAATATTTGGTTTAGTTAGGCCAACTAGATCAATTTTTCTTGCAATGGGAAGAGGTGCTTTGTGATGGGTTCGGTCGTGCGATGTTCTTTCCCAGTGACAGAAGGGGCAGCAAGACACGTATTGATCATTGCCATTGAGGATAACAAGATGGGGTCTATTCCTACATGAATAGATCTTGTCTACATCATGTCATCATTCTTATTGCATTACTCTGTTTTTCCATGAAGTTAATACACTAGATACATGTTGGATAGCGGTCGATGTGTGGAGTAATAGTAGTAGATGCAGGAAGGAGTCGGTCTGCTAATCTTGGACGTGATGCCTATATAATGATAATTGCCTGGATACTTCATAATTATTCGATGTTCTGTCAATTGCGCAACAGTAATTTGTTTACCCACCGTGTGTTATTTCTTGAGAGGAGCCACTAGTGAAATCTACGGCCCCTGGGTCTATTTTCCATCATATATTTGCATATATGCATTGTTATTTGCCTTTTCTTTTATTTTCATATCTATATTATCAAAAACCCAAAAATACCTCGCTGAGTTTTATTTGTCGTTATTTGCATCTATCAATCTATCACAATGACGCGCTAGGGGCTCCACAATGACCTCCGTCCTGCCGCGCCACTGTCTTGGTCTTCTATCACCAAAGGAGAAACCTTTGGGACTTGCTTTGGGGGCAGGTAGGCACAACTGCTCCCTTAGCACCAAAGGGAAAATTGTCATGTCCCCGCAGGCTGGCACCTGCCTAGGCGACGTCACCCATGTGATGGGCGACATGGCTCCTCGGGAGGCCTCGAGTGAGAGGCGCCTCGCGAGGGAGGCCTCACGAGGCAGCTCGTCGCGATAGTAATTTCGGTGAAGTCCTTCGTAGAAGAAGCCCCTCGCGGGGTGTGGCCCTCGCGAGGCCGCTGGCTTCGCGGCGCCTGCTAGTGGGCCACCCTCCTTAGCTGGGCTAAGGGGCCCTTCCTGGTCGTAAGCAGGTTACCCGTGGTACCCTGGTTCCCACCGGGCCGACAGTTTTAGCTCAGTTGCTCAAAGTATCCTACAGCTAAGATTCGTTTCGTCGTGCAAGCCTTTCCCAGACCCAGACACAACACATGTATTAAACGGTCCGGCCCGTGGCGGATTTAGCTGTAATGGGCCACGTGCTTTTCGACCGTATGAGTTATTTCTTGGGTTGTTCCTATGCCTATATAAAAGATAGACCGAAAAATATAAACCATATTTTATGAATCGTAAAAATAAACGGACCGTGCCGTGCCGGCACGCAGACCTGGCCTCACGGCACAGTCACACGGCCCCAGGTGTGGCACGCGCCGGCACGGCCCGTCTAGCCACGTGCCGAGTACGCGCCCTAATGGGCCGCCAGGCGAGGCCCGGCCCAGTTGGCCAGGTTGTAATAACATGTGCTTTATTTACTGCCTCGTGCTCCCGCTCAAAAAAAAAAGGTTTACTGCCTCGTGCTCTTCCCCTTTGTTATTATAACCGCGCTCCGCCATCCACGGACACGCCAATGCTCTGCTCTCCTCTGCTCCCCTTTCGCCCCTCGCTCCCTCCCTCCCTCCTTCCCTCCGCCGGAGAGTGAGCTATGTTGGTGCGGCAGCAGAAGCCTTTGCTCTTCCACCACTCCATCCCCATCTCCATCTCCGTCCCCATCCACCACGAGCACGGCCTTTTTCCCTCCTCCTCTGCGCTCCTAGGTTAGGAGGAGGGGCTTTTCAAAGGGGCGAGCAAAAGAGAAAGTCCTTGCATACCCCAACAAGGCAACCCGCTGCTGCCTTTTTCTCGCTCCCCCCTCCCTCTCCCTCTCTCTCCTCTCCCCCTCCCTCTCCCCTGCTTTCTTGTTATCTTCAGCCCAGCCAACGAGAGCGGAGCAGAGCAGGGCAGAGGGAGGCGTAGGGGTGGACCGAAACGTCGGACAGCAAGCAGGGAGGAAGGGAAGACGGCCGGCATGTGGGATCTCAATGACTCGCCGGCCGCCGAGGCGGCACACGCGCCGCTGTCCCCCTCCGTCGACGACTCCGGCGCCTCATCCTCCTCGGCCGCCGCGGTGGTGGAGATACCCGACGACGGCGAGGACGACTCCGCCGAGGCCGTCGTCACGCGCCAGTTCTTCCCCCCGGCCGCCCCGGGCGAGGGCGCCGCCGGGAACGGCCGCGCGGCGTGGCTCCGCCTGGCCGGCGCTCCCGCGCCCGCCGTGGCCGCAGCTGCCGCGGCCGCCGCAGGAGGAGGAGGAGGAGGAGGCGGAGGCCCCGCGGCGTCGGCGGCGGCCAAGAAGAGCCGGCGCGGGCCGCGGTCGCGCAGCTCGCAGTACCGCGGCGTCACCTTCTACCGCCGGACGGGCCGGTGGGAGTCGCACATATGGTAAGTTCCCGCCGCCGCTTCTTTCCTTCCCTTTCCTTTCTTGAGAGCTTAAGGAAGGAGAAGGTGAAAGAGCGCCGCAGCAGCAGCAAAAGAAGAGAAGAGAAAAGAAGATGGGTTTGGTATTGGATTCGTCTTGTTTTGGGCATTCCATGCCTCTGCTCCTTTTGCCTTTCATAGCAACGTCCATCTCATCAAACTTATTCTCCTTCCTTCCTTCCTTCCTTCCGTGTTTCTCTCTCTTCTCCCCTCTCCTCTTCTCTTATCTTCTCCTCTCACGCTTCTCACGCTCTCCCCCCATTCTTTTGCGCAATGCAGGGATTGCGGCAAGCAGGTCTATCTGGGTAAGTTTCCTCCATCTCCAACATGTCCATACATCCGGATCGGTCGCCAATTGGCGGCCGGCCGGCGTTTTTCCGTTCCCAGTTCCTCACACTGGCTTTGCTCGGCTCGTCGCTCGCGAATTGCAGGAGGATTCGACACTGCTCATGCGGCGGCTCGGTACGATAAAGATTTCATGCCAACAGATTTGATACACTGGTACCAATCAAGCTCTGTTCTTTCCTGATTTCTTTATCATTTGTTCGCGGGCGCAGGGCGTACGATCGGGCGGCGATCAAGTTCCGCGGCATGGAGGCCGACATCAACTTCAGCCTGGAGGATTACGACGACATCAAGCAGGTGAGCCACACACCCGATCAACACTACTGGTTTAGTGCTTCCTGTTTGCAGAATCTAATCGTAACCGGTGCTTGGCTTTGCAGATGGGCAACCTGACCAAGGAGGAGTTCGTCCACGTGCTCCGGCGGCAGAGCACGGGGTTCCCCCGGGGCAGCTCCAAGTACCGGGGCGTCACGCTCCACAAGTGCGGCAGGTGGGAGGCGCGGATGGGCCAGTTCCTCGGCAAGAAGTATGTACTCCTCCTCCACCACCATCACCCTCCCTCCTCCAATCCATGGCCTGAATTCCCCTGCGCCCGTCCGCTAGCCCCTGTCGTCGCACTCAAAGTGGCAGCATCTCTCTGCCGGCACGGCATGGCAGTGGCACTAATGAGACCTGTGTGCAACGCAGGTACGTCTACTTGGGGCTGTTCGATACCGAGGAGGAAGCCGCCAGGTAGTAGAAACGAACTCAAAATTATTGGGCCGTGCACTGCACCGCATAGCTTTAGCTTCGCTCCTCTGGTGCTGGGCGGCGAACTGATTGATGTGTCTCGTGTCGTGTGTCTCTCTCTGGGCGCTGTCGGGCAGGTCGTACGACCGCGCGGCCATCAAGTGCAACGGCAAGGACGCGGTGACAAACTTCGATCCCAGCACTTACGCCGAGGAGTTCGAGCCCACGGGTCAGTAGTACTAGTCCTTAATCCTGCACTGTTCATCCTCCGTGGTTTGATTTGGCAACCGTAGGATTGAGATTGATTATGCGGCGTGCGTGTCTTCCTGTTCATTCGTTCGCTGATCTTCTTGGGTGTGTGCACAATGCTCGACAGCTTCGGCCGGCGACGCCGAGCAGAACCTGGACTTGTCGCTGGGGAGCTCCGCGGGGTCCAACAAGAGGGGCAGCCTCGACGGCGGCGACGACGACGGCGCGGCCGGGCCCGACCAGCGCGTCCCCATGGCCTTCGAGCTCGACTGGCAGACGGCGGCGGCGCGGAGCACCAAGGCCAAGGTACGCGCCGCCGCAACTTTGACCCTCTGCAACAGCAGCAACTTCATAGTATAATCGGGCGTTGGAAAGCTGAAAGTGGGTTAATTTACTATGCAGTTCGACCAGAGCTTCACGCATCACCAGATGCCCCCTCCGCTCCTGCAAGCCTCCCACATGCCCTTCAGTCCCAGGCATCACCAAGTGGGCACTTTTTCCCATTCAAAGTTGGAAGAATTTTTCCATCTGCTCTTGGTAGGCGCGAACTGACAGTGATTGTTTGGTGCAAACCGTGCAGTTCATGGGCAACGGTGATCCGGGGACAGCGGGAGGCCCGTCGCTGACGGTCGGCGCCGGCGGCGGGGGCGGGCACTGGCCCCTGCCTCCGCACCACCAATACCAGCCGCCGCCGCCTCCGCAGCAGCAGCAGCAGCAGCAGCAGAGGCTGCATGGCTGGGGCAACGTCGTCCCCGGCACGAGCTGGCAGCCGCCCCAGCCGCCGCCGCACCACCAGGCGGGGCCGCCGCCGAACAACGCTGCCGCCGCCGCAGCAGCAGCCGCAGCATCATCACGATTCCCACCCTACATCGCCACGCAGGCGCAGAGCTGGCTCCAGAAGAACGGGTTCCACTCGCTGGCCCGCCCCACCTAGGTACCCGGAGACCATCCGTCGAGAGCAGCCAGCGCGCGCGTCCATCCATCCATGATCCATCCATGGCGAAGGTCGATCGACAGGTGTGTGTGTGTTCCACCGAACCAGGCGAAATCACGGAGGAACATCAACCATTATTACCAGCAGAACTGAGCTGAGCTGAACTGAACTGAACTGAGCTGAACTGAAACTTGATTTCTTTTTTCAGTTTCTTGTTTTTATTTCCTTTGATTGATTGGGCGAGCGAGATGGATTTGAGAGGACGGATGGCAGTCATGTAAATGCGGAGTTCCCAAGAAGACGAGAGAGATTGGTCCTAGCTACTTACTAGCTTTTCACTCGGAAGTTTCAACTCAAGTGTGTGTGTGTGTGTGTGTGTGTATGTGGGGTGGAGTATCTTTTGGCGCTTTTGGTTCTTGGCCAAGAGCGATGACTTGGGGTGTCCACATCACAGCTCATTTTGTTTGGTCTCATGTTGCATCACTCACTTCATGACCAGATTGGTTCCGGAAATTTGCTCCGTGCACCGCCCCGGTGGTCGACAACACACTAGCTAGCCCCTCTATGAAACATCTATAAATACATATACATGGACATCCTATTCGCCTTCGGTTTCTTTTCATAAACCTTGACTTTGTTACCCCTACCCTACTGTAAAACCCTCGACAACCTCGTTGACGCCCCACTCTAGTAAACATCGTAAATATGTACTTACTGGCATCTTGTAAAGAACTTGCATCTATTCCTCCTAGCAAAAGGATGACACGTTGTTCCAATTTTCATTTGGTTTAGGGTCGAATCTACTGTACAGGCTTTAACAGGCTTGAGCCTGCCCTTCAATCTGATCAATTAGGCCTTTACTGCTCATGATACAAGGCCCAACCCAGCAAATCGGGTGCTTTTTGGCCCATCTTAGCGCCTCCTCGCTGAAACTAGTACTACTATACTAGTACTTTAAAACATCGTTTATTAAAACAGGTGAAAAAAAAAAGAAGAAAACCTCATTTCCTTCACACTTCTATACCCTTGGAGAGGCTTTAAAATGTGGCGCCTAGCTAGGCCTACGCGCACGCCGAAAGAGGAGGTCTCATGTAGTGGTGTGCGTAGCGTTTTGCTAGAGGGAGAGGATTCCTTGTTTCTAATTCGGGCATTGCAATAATTGAAGCGCGGAGTGGAGTGAGCGATTGAGGGGTGGTGGGGGCCCATCCCCGGAGATGCATGCAACCGGGCGGGCGCTCGCTCGTACGTAGTACTCCTGCGACGGGGGCCCGTTGGTTGCGGAAAAGTGGGCTGGGCCAGGAACCACTGACGGGACGCCAAAGCCGGTCCGATTCGTGTAACCCGGCTGGCGGCTTTGGGCATGGGCTAATGTGGACCGCCCCGACGCCGTGTCGCTGTCCCCGCACCTCCCGCCCGAATCATCATCGTCGCCATCATCATCACCTCGCCGGCGTCTTCTCTGCTGGCATCACGCGGCCAACCAACCACCGTTGATGTGCCGCTGTACCCAACCAGACCCCGGCATCCCCGGCCAGGGAGAGGGTCGCCGTCGCCGGGTGTACTGCGTGCGACGTTTGAGCTCGTCAGGTGTCGACGGATGCTCGCCGTGCCTGCTGGATATTTGTGGGGCGTCGTCGTCGTCCACGGAAAGGTTGCCGTCGGGGCGTACTACGTGCGACGTTTAGCTGAGCTTGGCAGGGGTCGACACTCGACAGATGCTAGCTAGATTCCCTGCCGGTCTAACAGTCGCCACGGGGACGACTGCCCTGTGGATATTTGTGGCGCGCGCGCTGGAAGCACTGGTGCTGATTCTGATGGACAGCGACGGGTCCTGGTTGATTAGGAGGAGGACGCTGTGTGTCTGCGTTGGAGTTGTATGGCAATGGCACGCATCGTTTTTAGTAGGGACGTGAAAGTGAAGCAACCGTCCGTCCGTCCGTCCGTCGACGCTTGCACTTGATGATGACCTACCTCCACAGGCCTTCTAGCTTTTCTGGTGTAAGTATGCTGCGCTGCTGCTATATAGATAGGTGTAAGGACCGAGCTGCACGCCAAGAATTCTACTGCCCATATAACTATCGTGGAATAGCATGGAGGGCATGCGCGGCGCACTGTGGATGCCATCGGCTTTTCCCGGCCGACTGGCTAAAGGAAACAGCAACGGCCAGAGGAGGATGCAGTGCAGCACTATCGATGCTTCCACCACTCGATCGACGCGACACTGGCTGCCTGCCTACCGGTGGTGCTACGCCGAAGGGTTTTCGTCTCTGACGTAGCAGTACATTCCTGTCGACCCTCCTGTCCTGCCCGTGGAGCAAGCGATTGATCGTGCGCGTAGGCCCGAGCGTGCGCGCGAAAGGAGAGCGTAGGCGCGGGGGACGTGCCTACGTGCGCGCGCATCGACACGCCCGTGCCTACGTGCGCGCGCATCGACACGCCAACTGAACTGAACCGTACAAAAGGCGAAATCCGCCGTGCGAGAACCGATGATCGTTTCCCTTTCGGTTTTGCTACTTTTCAGGTATCTGTTTTTCTTTGTGTCGATCACCTTTTTCTTCTTCCCGAGCATGCGAGATGGGGAGGCCGGACCTAGCCGGAGAAAAGGCAGTCTCACTATCTATCTTAGAGATGTTGAGGTGCAGGTTCACAGGGAAACAGCAAGCTCGCTATCTATCTTAGACATGCGGGTGTGCATGGCGTTGCTGG